TATCTAGTCACACTTTGGGTCTTTAAACTGTGATACTTCCAGAAAATTCTCCTCATGACTTTATGTTTGTATATGATTTGATATATTTTTATTTTACCATGCATGCATATCAGATGAATTTATTTTCATTATGAGTCACAGCATATAACAGTTTCGGTTGCATTTTATATTGTAATGTTACATTTCAAAATATAATTTATATTTTTTTCTTTAAACCTTTAACTTCTGAGTTAAATTTTATTGGTTAGAACAACTGTTGTTTATGATTGGTATTATTATAATATTATTATTAATCACTTGAATATTTAAATTATCTGTATTTTTTTTTTATTGATATTTTATATCTTGGTTATTCTTATTCCTACTCTTGATTACCTATTATTCTTATCTTTAAATGTACATATGTAATACGTATAAGGCCCTAATTTTTTTTATATAGGTGGAAACCAGCTGCAGAACAAGAAAGCAATAAGGGTCTTACATTAGAACAGCGGAAGGCACGGTAATACTTAAAAAAGACTGAAGATTTATTAATTAATCATCAAAGTGATGCAAAATGAATTAATTTTATGCATGCAGAATATAATGTTACAAAATAATTGATATTTTTAAGATAGTTTGAATAATAATTCTAAAATATGAGCAACTGTGTAGTAGTACAAAAAATTTACACGGAGGCATATGTACACTCATGCATATATTTGTTATCTGTATATTTTAAATATATGCTTTTTATGCATATTTATATTTTCTTTAATCATCAAAACACTATTTTAAAGTATCAAGTTTAAGTGATTTTAAATTGGAGTAACTTATTTTATATTTCTCATATATAAGATATAGTAAAAAAAATAACCCTTTTTGTTTTAGAGATGCAGAACGAATAAGAGAAAAACAATTGAAGAAACAACAAGACCACCAAGAAAAAACAAAGCAAAGTGCAAGATAATTTCTTCTGTAAGACATGTAAATTATTTGACTGAATCTAAGAACAAAATTTTAAGTATGTTTCTAAAATTCCTGAATATAAAGCACCATCACTATGTTTAATATGAGCACATAAAAAAATCATAATCTTTTGATTATAGAAAATATCTTCAGACTGCGTACTGGAGCATATAAAACTTAGTTAAAATAGTCATATTATTTACATGTTGTTTGCAAAAACAGTAATAGTCTATGTGTATAAAACTAATGTTGCCTACATTATAACGATAAAAGAAAATGCGCATTTGACTGGTTCATCTAGATATAAGGATATTAATTAATTAAATATAAGAGTATTTGTAGCACTAATTTTCAATTTGTAAATTCAAGTTCTCAATTATTTTATATGTCGTGTAAGTGACTTTCATAAAGTATGTGTAAAAAGGTATGTACTTTTATCATTTTGTTTGATTCATAATAAATTGTTCAATTTAAAAATATTTTGGATTTCTTATATTCAAGCTTATTTTACTTAGTTAAAAATTTGAATGTATCGAATTTTGTGTCAACTTATAGAAGCAGCAAGTATTACTATCGCTAGGTATATATTTGAGAAGAAACAGCTATTAATATAAATTTCTAAATAGTTTAATAAATGACGTTATGGTACTTATTTTGTCTGGTTAATGTTTTCACATACTTTATTGTATTTATTGTGCTTTCCCAGAGAGAATACATGTTTGACATATTTAATTATTTTGTCTTGAAAAAGTTAATATAAGTTAAATATTACTTAAAACAAATATTTGGGATATCAAAATCAAAGAGTGATAACAAATTATATACGTTCCTTATTATTAGGTAAAATTTTAATGGAAGAGAAGAAGTAACATAATAAACACGTTATATAGACATTTAAGACCAAAACCCTTATAAAGTAGTGGTAATATACATATTTATTGTTAAGAGCAATTTGACTTACTTCTCAAGTAGAAAAAGAACGTTTTAATTGTATTTTATTTATCGCTTGACTGTTATAACTTTCTAATACATGTAGAGGGAAAAGAAATCCTTTTAGTCGTTTGAAAAGTTTTAAGTTTCTCATATATAAGAAATGGTGTTACATATGGAACATTTATTTAATTATACTCTATACTATAAAGTATCATTGTAAAATTGCATGTAATACATTTGTATCAAGTGAAGCAAAGGATATATGGAATGAAATACACTAAAAATTCGTTTGTATGAAACATTTGTTTAGAACAAAGATGATGTTATTTTCTTCTTTATAATGTTATAGTTTGTTCGCAAAGACATACGTTTTACTTTGACATACATTTTGCTTTCTATTTGAATACTGTAATAGAACTATTTGAACATATTCTATTAAATAATTTAATCTTTTTACACAAAGAAAAGTTTTAACAGATTTCATAATGTAACCCATAAATCGTGTAGTTTTATCTTCTACTGGAAATAAGTAGAAAGAAATGTGTTTCACACAAACTTGTTTGAATAAAAATATAGTATCAGAAAGTCTATTGTATTATTACTAGTGAAACAAATACCTGATTTCCCTTGTACGTATTACTAAATGAAAGATGAAAATTTCTAAGCACATGAAAATAATACACAATGAATGGCACTTCCTTATGCAATATTGAATTTATTGTTACTAAAAGTAGAAAAATAAAAAAAGTTTTGATGAAAAATTTGAATTTTCTAAATTTACTGTAAAAATACACAAGATTTACCTAATTAAAATTTTTTTGTTTTTGTTTTTAAATATAGATCACATATTTGTCACTTTTTCAAATAATTGTAGATTTGCATACAATTTTTGATGGTTAAAGAAATGAATTGAAAGTCACCTTCTTTAACAGATTTGATAAATCAGATATCATTATTGACTTGATACTACAAAAAATGTTGGTAATTACTTAAAAATACTTGTACTTACGAGTATGTAAAACTTGTAACTGATCAAACGACGGTTACATGTATCATGTTATATATGAGCCTTTCACAGGCCAAAGTAGTTAACTCTACTTTTTGAATTTTTTTAAATATTAGCTCCAAAGCATTTGATTAATGCTTATCTTTTATATTTAAAATAAAATTTCTTAGGTTTAATTAGGTTTAACACCATCGATAAATAATTTATTTTAGAAGTCAATGTGATTAACTTCATACGTTAAAGTAAATCCTTGTAATAATTTAATTCAAAGGCTTATAAGAA